TATCGATTCGTATAAACTTTTTTATTGAAGTTTTCGTTTTTAGTACTGTAATATTGTAATAACGAATAAAAATTGTGAAATTTGATTGGGTAATAATCACGTGTAGATTTACAAATCGATCTAAAAACTAGCCAATCAGATAAATTTCTGTCTATGATATCTGATATAATAGCACTACAAGACGCCTCCTGTGTTTGAATTATTAATTACCCAAACGAAATCTGTTACTAAATGAACGGAACTTCAGATATGGCTCTAGATGAGTATGGCAAGACAAATAGGAAGGGAAAGAAAAGAAATTCCAGAGCATCTCGCAGGGGAGGGCGCGTTACAACAGGACGAGTGAGGAACGTTCGGAATGCACCTTACGAACTGCAGGTGATAAAGATCTTTCCGTATTCTTTTCTAGTTGGCTTAGATCATAAGTTCTACCTACTCTTTCTGTTGATAGACGATATAATCTCGTTTGTCTACAAAAAAGGGTAGACTGGAAGTTTAAAAGTTTGAATTTATGTGGTACTGATGCTTTATTGATCTACATGTAGCGTCCCCCGAAAGGCAATATCGATGAGCAATGGTCTCATGATCTTTACGAGGATGCTCGTTCGAAAGATGGTCGCCAAAATTTTCGTCGAACATCATCAAATTCTAACAATAATGCAAAATTGATTGTTGAAAATTTATTTTATGAAGTGACGGAAGATGACCTTGAGGTTGGCATTTTGATGTTGTGTAAATACAATTTATGTTTCCAATATGAGAAACTAATTAATTAAGGTGTTATTCGAGTAGGAACTATTTTCTGAGTGTGGCTCCGTCAAGAAAGTTATTTTGCATTATGATCGCGCTGGACGAAGTACGGGTAACGCAGAAGTTACATTTGAGAACCCAAAAGATGCAGAAACAGCACTTAGAAAATATAATGGACAGACTCTTGATGGTATGTAAACTGCCATTTATTTTTCAGGAATAAATTTTTTTTTTTTATAAATATTTCATTTACGATATATTTATTTGATCAGGACAACAAATGAGAATCAGATATGCACCAGTCAAACCTATACAAAAGGTATCAAGTGTACGTGGATCATCTACTGCTGAAGGTGGTTCCATTTTGGATCGCCTTGGTGGTGTTGCTCGCAGTGGATTAGTGTATGTGCATTTTACATTCATCATCAACTGTTGAGAAAGAAGTGAATATTCACAAATTTGTGGTTAGCTAAATTTTATTTCGTACCCGTAATATTTTGTATTGCGTGGATCTGAGGTTTTAATTATTTTTTTTTTAAAATACTTGTACGATATATTCGGCCTTTCGTAATTCACGTCATTTGGTGGTTTATATTTGCGACTTTATCCAACCATTACCATTATGTCTTAGTCATCATGACTTAATCCCTATTGTACTCTTTCTTTCTTCCTCACGCATGTCTCCATTCTCTGGAAATATGATCTTCCATATTACAGTAAGCAAGTTTCGCGTGGGAATATTAAATCTAGGCTTGGACGAAGTGTGAACAATGATACAGTGTCTCGTGGGCGTGGAAGCAAGAATCCAGATGGTCGTCGGAAACCAGCGAATCGTAAGCCGGTTACGGCTGATGATTTAGACGCCGATCTAGATGCCTATATGGCCATTGAATGCGTATGTTTCAAACTATTCTATCTAATTTGTTTTATTTACTTGTTCTAAATAATTACGTTATTTAACTACTTACTTTCAGGGAACATCCGTGGAGAAAAATACATTACTCGTTTCAAACGGAGAAAATGGGATGGATTTATCATAGCAGAGAAGCATGATTCAATAATATTAAAAATTTATATATATATTCATACACTTAAAAGCTTTTTATGCTACAAATTTATTTTATGGTTTATCAAATCTGATAAATGATTATAAAGGACCCTGATCTTTGTAAAAGTTCAAATAAGTATGTATGTATATATCGAATTATAAATTAAAAATAATCCAAATATACAAGTTTGATTATTAACAAAAACCAATTAATGATATTTTAATTGATTCAATTGTAAAATATTGGTTTTAATATTTCAATAAGAATTTTATTGTTTGTTTTCGTGACTAGTGGTTGGACCCGGATAGGCATCATCCGGTCAAACTCGCGGGTTAAACCCGTTGATCAACCCGTGGGTTGAACTCGTAGGTCAAACCCGTTAATAGCATCGCTTATGTGTTGTTTTGACTCGTGTGGTTTATTAAGATGAATTGATATTAATTGAGCTAGGCCATTATTCTTCTACGATGGCTTAAAAATTTTATGTGCATTGTGTCTGTGTTCCACATATCGATATGTTATTTGTAAATTAAGAAATACCAGGTTGTGGTGCTCCTGATGATCATGTGATAGTCTGGAGTCATACTGCCTGTATCAATTTTTTTAAATAGTATACATAGATTATAATTATGAATTTTAAGTTAAAATTCTTTCGTATGATGACAATCATGAGAAATGATAATTTTTTAACAGTATATATGCAGAAAGAGAAAAATATCTGATATGAAAAATTAGGTAATGTAACTAGGCACTTGAGTTGTTTAAAGGATGTATTATTTTATACTGGTATGTTATGAACCAGTTCTAGTATACTGTAGTTCTTGTGGAATTCTTCAAATACTTTATCAATTTCATAGAATTTTATAAGAATTGGTTTTTATTTATGGAACTTACAAAATTATTTGTGCTAGTATAATTTGATTTGGGGCATTTCTTGCTACCCAATTGTTTACCCGGGTTAGTCGGGTTACCCGGTAGACTCATTTATCCACCCGGGTGACCCGCCGTGTTACCCGGGTCATGATTTTTCAGACGGCCTTTGACTGGTTTTTTTTTTCAGTTTTATTTGTTATTAAACCGGTTAAGTCGGCTTAGCAGGCTTAGCAACCGATAACATGATCGGCTGGCTAATGCGGCTAAATAACTTTTTCTGATTGGCAAATCACAAGACAAATTTGCATAAATATAAATATATACTATATACGTACAGTACGTACGTACGTACCAGTTTTGGCCGATGATGACCTTAATGACCGGTCATAGGTCATTTGGTTATAATGAAGGTTAATATGACTTATGGCCTTTTTTAATATAGTAAGAATCATATTAAAAAAATTTTTTATTAGCATTTAATATGACCAAAAAGTCATATGACTATGTCAGACTTAGGTCATCGGCCAATACAATAATTATATTATATATATATATATATATATATATATTTATTATATAGAATAAAATATTTTGTGTTTAAATTTAGGTCTGGTTATCTTAATTAAAATAAAATACAGTCATACAGTATCTCTTATATTCTGTACTTAAAAACAAATTGCTATTGTATTAAACATAAATACAGAGTATAAGCACAACGTCTGCATATTTTTTAAAAAATTCATAAGTAAAAAGGCGTGTATATATAAAATACAATATCAGAGATATATATAGTATATACTGTATACGTACTGTAATTAGCAGTTAGTAAATACAGTATATATTTTAAAATATTAAAAATAAGTTTATAAAAATTAATTATTATATATATATACAGTATATACAACTAAATATATAGCCAGATATACAATCCTACACTATTGTAGTAAAAGCTAATTTATTTTTAAGATTTTGCTTTTTATTATAAAGTAATTTTTATGTTCTTTCACAGCAAAACTATAGGCATTAATAAAACAAATACGTATACAGTATATATCTGATATAGTATTAAAATTACAGTATATATATATTTAATATATTACAAACCTGATGCTGTAAATAATACGACATATCATATGATACGTATTATGATATGTCATAAACATCTTTGCTATTAAAATTTATAAAACATTCGGTCTTTGCCGTAGTAATCAATTAACGATGTTAGTCTCCGTGTAACATACATACCTGAAATAGCACGTGCGCCAGTTTCTTTACTCGAAGCCAATTTTGTCACTTCCGTCACAAATGTCGCCAATTATGGAAGAAATTCTTTCCGATTCTAACAGCATTCTTACTTCAGACGAACCATTGTCACCGACTTTACAGCCTCAGCAAAGGCTAAAAGCCAGGCCGACAACACAACTTTCGTTTGACGCTTATAGCTCCTCTTCTTCTGGATCGTCAATAAGGAGCTTCAATACAACTTCAAATAAAGTTGACACTGGTGCAGATTTTCTTTTGGGCCTAATAAGCAAATCTAATTCAGCTACGTCTTCTGAGCGATCTAAAATTTCTCCTTTTCATAATGTCAAAAGCGGCAAGAGACCACTTATCAAGCTGACAAAAGAAGCTTCTTCAGAGGAAGAAGAGATAGATCAGCAAGATACTTGTAGAGGTATGCTTGTACTTATTCTCTTTGCTTAATATACGTCCACTGTTGAAAATTGAAAGCGTTAATACGTTATCCTGAAACTATCCAAGACTCTGATGTTCCATTGGATCATAATGGGGATGATTCTATAATTTCAAGAAATGACATTTCCGTAATTTCAGATGATAAAGAATATTCAGGCTACCGGCGCAAATATGGGCATGAAGGTCGAAGGTGTTTGCTAAAAAAATCAAAGCATACAATGCTGCAATTTTGGTAAATTTTTAGCTGATCCTTTATTAATATATAAAGACCCTCAGTCTATAACGTGGTCGCGACATCGGAAACACTTTTTCATTTTAAGTAGCGCTGGAAAACCGATCTACACTCGGTACGAATTATTTATTGTATTGCTAGCTTAACATAAATCTTCTTAAATTGAAGCTCTTTTTTTTTAATTTGTTTCCAAAGATATGGGGAAGAAACACGTATTTCAAGTTATATGGGTGTAATTCAGGCTATCGTTTCATTCTTTGCTGATGCTGATGACACAATAAGGTCTCTTGTTGAATCAAAAATCGGCAATGTTCTTTATTCTTTATTTGTTATTTAAAATTTATTATATTATTTATGTAGATGCATAAATGCTGGTCAGCATAAATTAGTGTTCCTGCTTAAGGGACCCTTATATCTTGTCGCTGTTTCACGGACAAACGAATCTGAAATGCAGGTATAAGTCGACGAAATTTAATTATTCCACCTGTATATTATTGTGAATTTAAAAATATTGGACTTTTTTTTTTTCCTGAATAGCTTAGGGATCAATTGAATTACCTATATAATCAGATTGTAAGCGTATTGACCTCCACACAACTGACAAAGATTTTTGAACAACGAGTTAATTTTGATCTACGTCGGCTTCTTGGAGGTGGGTGTATAATAATAGTAATAAAAATAAATTATATTTGGGGTGTAATTTAACTTACCTTTTCTAATTAAAACACTCTAGGCACCGAACCATTTTTGGATAATCTTGCATCTACAATGGGCGATGACCCAGGCTTTATGTTTAGTTCAATCCAGTGCGTAAGAATGAACAAAGACCTACGTGATAAAGTAGGAAGTATAATGCAATCAATAAAACCTCAGGTAATTCTATCATTTTTACATATTTTCATTCGGTTTATGTTCAATATTAAATTCATCATATGTTTGTTACAGGATCTTTTGTATGCTATGTTGATAACGAATAATAAGTTGATAACATTGCTTAGACCGAAAAAACATAGCCTTCATCCAGCAGGTGAGTAAAATCTGTTTTTGCATGATTCGATGACACTCTTTATGACGCTTATATTTTGTTTATTAGATCTTCACTTGGTATTCAATATGGTTAACGGATCTTCGACTTTTCGATCAGTCGAATCATGGACACCCATTTGTCTTCCAAAATTTAACAATAAAGGCTTTCTTCACGCATATGTATGCTATATTACCTCCAACGTATGCTTGTTGTTTATATCACCAGATAAAGACAAGTTTTTCGAGTGTTCTGAAGCAAAAAACCTTCTCAAAGAGGTAACATGGATTATATATTTATATGTTTTACTACATAATGTCATTCGCGTTAGTTATGGTTGGACTCACCCTTTTATTATAGGAATTGTCTGATTGCAACGCCTTGCAAGAGATTGAAGAGGCATCACAAAATGAAGGTTACTCTATTGGTAACTAAAATATATATTCTAATTTGCTTTGAATAGTAAAATATTCCGTTTATTAATATCTTAATTTGTCCATTCTCAATTAGCTGACATCGGAGTTCCAGGCTTACGTCATTTTATTTATAAATCGAGAACTCATGTACAGTATACTTCACCGACCCTCGTTGCTCCTTACAGTGATCCTCGAAAAAGACAAAAGTAAGATATCAAATTGACGTATTTTATAACTCTTTAATAGCACTTACTAGCTACGATTAATAATTTGTAAATAATCAATAAATAGATTATTCAAACTGTATCGTTATACACATGACCGAATGCATTCACGCTTGAGACCTCTTAAGGTTCATTATTACGTTAGTCCAAACGAAACAATATTAGGATGGGTAAGACATTGCATTTCCTTTTTGTATACATTTAATGCTTAGTCTACGTATTTACTTATATTTCGTTTTCTTTTTGAACAAATTCAGTTAACTAGTAGTTTTGAACTTTACGCTGCATTTGGTCCACTGATATCGAAGTCTGCATTGACATCCTCGTCTCATACATTGTTAAGGTGGATAAAAAAAGAGGAAGAAAGCTTATTCATTGTTTCCTCACCAGTGTTTTAACTTATAATGCATATATCCAAGTATTTAAGTGCATGACTACATATTTCTACATACATTTGATTTTTTATTATTTGTTTGAAAAATTTATTTTAGCAGTAAACATCTTTACACAATGGTATTTTTTATGAAAAAAAAGTGAAGAGTTATAATGTTCGATTTGTCATATGACTAATAAATATCAATATACATTCATAGCATTATATTTTTATTGAATAGACCAATAAAGATAAATTCCGAACCAATACTTTGAAAAGTCAACCTTTGTGATTTCTACAAATTTTTATTGATTGATCTTTTTTTTGGAACATATGCAAAGAAGTAAATAAAAAAAGAAACCTAGAAAAATAAATTTACACAAAAAAATAAACAATTTGATTAAAGGAAAAAAAAACAATAAGAAAATGTAGTTATAGTTAATAAAAAGTTCAATTTATATGATTTTAGAATTTCATGACAATTCTGTCTGCAAAAAATCTAGATGAGATATGAGTTGATTACACGGATATTATTTTCCATTGTCCTTCATGAAAGTATGATATATGCGCAAAAAACAGTAAAAATATAAATCCTTCGTATAGACAAAGGAATAATGAATTAAAAATTAAGTTCATTGAAATTGACCAAAAAGTGATCATGCCAATTGAGGATCGAATGAAAAGGAATCCCTTCGTTCGGATGGGAAAAAGGGATCCCTTAAAGAATCCCTTCTTTCAGACCCTAAAAAAGAATCTCTACGATCTAAGTTAAATCGTTCGGGATGGGTAAAAGTAGGACCTGAACTGCTTCCAAAGCTAAAGGTAGAATCACGTCTGTCCAAGCTAAAAGAATCCCTGCGATCAGTTAGACTGAATGTGCTATCTCGACGTTCCAAACTAAAAGTAGAGTCTCTACGATCGGTTAAGCTGTATGTAGAACCTCGTCTCTCACCATTGAAACCATTAAGTCCATTGCTATTATTGCTACTACGTACGCCTAATGGGTTCTTCGAGAAACTTAAACGAATTCCACCTTTTACGGAATTGCTGAGAGGATTACCGTAAAGTTCATTCATTGCCTGAGTGGCATAATGTACATCTTCGAATTCAACAAAGCACATAGGACCATTTTGTTTAGTTCGAAAACACATACGTTTATATCCAGGACAACGAGAGAACAATTGTTTAAGTTCATCTTCGGAGGTATTCATTGGCAAGTTTCCAACGTAAAGAGTATTACATGGAGGATTTTGATCAGCAGGATTTGGAGGACGAAAACCAGGAGAAGAGATTGATGGAGAAGAAGAGACGACAGATGGAGGAACAGCAGAAGTATTAATTGTTAAATGAGACATTGCTAATGGCAAGTCATCATTTACAAGTAAAGCAGAGTTAAAGCCATTTGTTGGGGTCTTTGCAGTTTTAGAAACAATTTCAACAGGGTTAGATTTTGAAAGGTAGTTAATATCATCATCAAAGATTCCTTTAGTATTATTATTAGTAATATATCGAGGACGCGAAGGAGCACCAACCAAACCATTTGCAGCATCAAAAGAACCACGAGTTGAAGAAGAGAAAGGAGTTTGATCAGGGAACACAGGGGTTGTAGGCGTTGTAGGAGTATATACACTCACATCAGAATAAAAATCGTAGCCATAATCTTGAGGAGAAAGAAGGTCACTCGGTAATTGAGGAGGCGCAAGGGGAGGAGGAACAGAGTAGAAGGCCTCATAAGTAGCATTAGCAGTATTGATATTATTAGGAGTTGGAAAACGTTTAGTTGGTGATATAAGAGGATAAGCAGGAGCATTTTGATCGTTAGAAAGGCCACGTTTAGTATGCAAATTTTTCTTTGCCATTTCGGCTTTGAGAACCGACCCCTTTTCAGCATCAACCTTTCTTCCGCTAAGAATGTCACGAGCTTCAAGAGCTTCAAGCTTAGTACGGAATTTTGCAAACCCAATCTGAAAAGTAAAGATAAAGCAATTAATAATTTAGAAAGTAAAAAAACATTTACTAAAACAAAAATTCAACAACTTTGATTTTATATAGGATATATCATTTGACTATACATTTAATAATGAATAAATGTATTTCGGTACGTACAATTTGTTTCCTTGCATTGCTACCATTAACAATTCCATTGCCATTACCGTTTCCAATGCCGTTACCATTTGCAGGTCCATCATCATCTGACGAATCCTTTTGCGGAATCTTCAAAGTAGCAGCTTCAAAGCCAGGAGAAAAGATGAACATATTTTGGAATTCTCGTTCTTGCATATCGTCAGGAAAGCCGACGACAAAGATTGTAGATATCTCTTCGTTTATCATGATGAAATTAAGTAATTATAATGAGAAGGGCAGGTGAATAGTAAATATTGAGGCGAAAAAGGGATTATATATGTACAGAAAAAAAAAATAACAGCTATATATGCAAAAGATGTTGGAACAAGCCGGAGAGAAAGTACAAAGTGTAATAGGGGGATGCTGAATAACCAATATTCTGGAGGCAAACAACAGCTCTACTGGAAATGCCGAAGATGTAGAATTTAAAAAAATTTTTTTGGAATTTCGTGCCAATGGTGATAATTGAATGCTTCGAATAAGATAATTAGAATATTGAGAATGTTATATTGTAGTACCCAAAGACAAAATAATATGTCAGGGTACAAGAACAAAATACTTTTTAATAATGAGTTGGTGAAAAGAGGAGACTATGTTTGTAGATGCTTGTGTGCAAAATGGGAATAAAAGTTTATAAGATGCTAAAAATTCTATTGTTTGTATTATTAATTTGTTGCTTGAAAAATGGAAGTAAAAAGGTTGTTGCTATGTACAATAAGGCATATATGCAATTGTGGTAATGCAGCAGCTGCAGAGAAAGGAAGAATAAAGAAGACAGCGAAGAGATCAAGACACTTGCTGACGACTAAAAATTTGATAAGAGGACGTAAAGTTAGCGGGTTCAAGAGGCCATAAGATTAAATTACAAGTAAGTTCAATTTATAATAAACTACTAATTAAAACAAAACTACCTTATTGAAATGACACGAATAGTTAAGACCAAAACTCAATTAATGAGCGAACAACAATGCAGGGCCAGAGAGAGCAAAAGAGTTCGCGGCCCTTTTTATTGCAAATATTAACAGTTTTACAATATTGAAAAAAATAATGCAGTATGTACTCAGTATATGGTACAAGCTCAAAAAAGGGGGATAGAGCGATTGGGGGTTTGAATATTGATTGACTAACTGAAATATTGAATGTTTTATAATGTTTTACATAAATAATACATGATAAATCAGGCAGAATAGAAATCATTCAATTTTCTTTTGCATTGTAGTAAACAAATGGATTGGTCTTAGTTTATTTTATAATCACCAAGTCTTTATAAATATCACTGATCTTTCGAGGAAAATGACATATAGACATAGTAAGAGAAGAGATTAATATGTGCCTATAGATCATTGATCAAATAGAAGAATCACGAAACGTATATACAATTCTATTTTTTTTTATTTTATAAAACATGACAATCTTGTCTTTTACGAACATTATATATTCGGTATACCCTAAATCAGTATCTGATAAGCCATCAGTTTATTTTTCGTTCCTCACGAGCCTTCCCGTTCGTTTATTAGAGAAAAAAAAATTTCCGAGGATTATCCACAAAACTGCGGATGATTGTAAAATGCGAAATCTGCAGAATATTCGCTGTCAAGACTAATTTTATAGATAAAATAGATAAGATAAATCTGGATGTGATTTCACCTTTACCTTTAATATTTACTTCCCCGCTTCTTTAGTCTGACTTGTTCATTTATTATCTCCCATTGATAACCTTATATATCTAAACGTCCAAACATGGTATCATATATACATATATATATATTATACAGTAAAACAGCCTTTTTGGAGTAAAGATAAATGAAAAACAATAATGGTGATATTGTTTAAATACAATATGTAAGATGTTTTTAAAAAGATAATACAAAAAGACATTGTTATTATACCTCCCGGCCGATTTAGATATGTTACTCAAGCACAGCAGAAAATTTTAACCTGTTCATTTTTTCGGGGTTAGTGCATAAAAGGGTACGTCAAGAGTGTACGGTGAGTGCGTCAATGATACATTGTGGGTAGTGCGTCGGGCTGGTAAATTTCCGTTAAATTGGTTGTGATTTGATGGATTTGATGTGATCAATGATGAATCGCAAAATCGCAAAATCGCAAAAAATACTGATTTGCTTCGATCATAGAAATGTTATATAAAAGTACATATATTTAAAAAACGAATGAATATTATTTTCTTTTATTATAAAATTATGCCGAAAATCCACATATCCTTTATTCCAACATCTTTAAGATCCTGATGATTAATCGTCGAATTTAAGTATTTCAGATTTATCCGTTGGACTAGTGTTGATGGTTCAAAATTAAGGAAAGAGATAACGATGATTATTTTTTATTAATAATGAAATATTTACAATATTTGTGTTCGGAATATCCTCATCCCGATCCATCAAGATATTATTAGCCAACAGACAATCACTAAAATAAAACACTGTATATCACTAGTTGGTGTGGAGACATCAGTTCTTTAATTAATTAATCTGCGCAAACGGTGCATGGTGTATGATTAAATGTAACTGGCTAAGTATTTAAGCGTAAAGTGCTTCTCAAATATAAAAATAAGAGATCTACGAAAAAAAAGGATACTGTAGCATATAGCCGTGTAAGTGTTTAACCACTAACGCTAATGAAAAATCTTACTGTAAAAAGCTAGTTCTCAGTTTTGTACACCTGTACGCCACTAGCATTAATAAGCGATTAAACATTAAAATATATTATATTGTGAGTTCTCTTTTGACGTTACTGTCTTATAAAAATATATATCAAACATAGTACTAGGACATTTTTATAGGCTGACGCTCTTGTTATTGACGCACTCCCCATTATTGACCTAACCCCGAAAAAATAAAGCAAGGGGCCTCAAACACTCGGACAATTTCTCGATTTTTATCGCATTTGCTTGCATTAATCCTGTACACAACGCAGCCTGCTGTGCAACTGCCTATCCGCGCCCCCTCAAGTCAATCTACCTAACTATAGTAATAAAATCTTGCCACAGCATTTTTGTAAACACACTTTTTTTTTTTCTTAAAAAAAAAAAAAAAAAAAAAAAAAAGAAAACCCCCCTATAAAAACAATCTATTTAAAACGATCTATTTTAGCTTTGGGGTTTTAATTATTGACCCCATTTATTTTCGTAAAAAGTGGCTATTTCACCACAATTGTAATAATGAAGGAAAGACCACAAATAGAAATAGATGATATCCACATATAGTTACCAAACAATTCGTAAAGTTTGTAGTCGCAAGCAATTCTCGCAAGAAAATACATGTTATCATCCTTGGTATTTCAGGCTGTGTGCGATCCGTTCTTAACAAGTACATACGTTTGTTTTCTATCACTACTTCAATTACTGAATTATCAGTTATCATTATTAAATACGTTAAGTAATGTCACGTGATGGTGTGATATGGTTTAAATGTTTTTCCCTACAAAGTGACAAAAGTGCTTTTCGAAAATGTCGCGTCCAACTGAAGAAAGAAATCAAGATGCTACTGTATATATCGGAAACCTTGATGAGCGATGTACAGAGGCTTTGATCTGGGAGCTAATGCTACAAGCTGGTCCAGTTGGTAAGCTTTTATTTATCTTTTTATCGGCTATTTATTTTA